CGATGGCGTATCGTTAGCTCATATTGCCCACCTGTTCACTGAATTGCGGCGTGCAACACCGCTTCGATAATGACCGAGGTATTCATGAATTAAATGGGTCTGGCTGCTGCAACGCTTGGCGATCGCAATTGCTGACAGCGGAGTAAACAAGGGCCATAAATAACATCGCAGGCGCGTCGATGGCGTGGCTTGTGCCCGCAAGAGCTCCTGCTCTTTAGAATGTGTCTCACTCATCCTGACTCGACAATGCTCCCTCCTGCAAGCCCTGCGCCTGCCACCGTGACATTCAAACACCGCCTGGCCAACTGCGTTCTTGTACACACCAGAGTCATGCAGAGTGACGCACGCTGTCAACTACGCTGCAGACATTAATAACAACACATCGGCATCATAGTAACTGTTAACAATGGTTAAATTGCTCAGCACGTCCATCGATAAAAAGCACCAGAACACATGCTAAGAAGAAAGGCCGTTGCCCGAATCATTGCCTATTACGTATCTTGTATATTTGTGTTTCACTGCGTGACGAACGCGTGGAGTTTTTGTAGCTGCTGTTTGTGCCTTTGCACCGCTGTCAAAGCAGTATCGGCGCAACGTTTTGGAGCGACAGAATCGGTGCGTCTGGGCGGGGAGGGTTGGCGAGACGGCTCGCGGAGCGGCGAGCGGGGAGAGAAGCGCGAACAGAGATGTTCGTTCTTTTTTTACGATCAGTGGAAACAAGAAGATGCTCGGTGTAGTCGGCACTTTGCTTCGTTCATCATTTCGTAATTGTTTTTAATTTAAACTTTGCTTCATGTTAAACCCCACCTCTCGCTCACTCTCTCGCTCACTCGCTCCCTTCCTCCTCTTTTTTTACGATCAGTGGAAACAAGAAGATGCTCGGTGTAGTCGGCACTTTGCTTCGTTCATCATTTCGTAATTTTTTTTATAACTTTGCTTTATGTAAACCCCCACCTCTCGCTCACCCTCTCGTTCTGCACGCAGCCCTTCTCGCACGTGCGGGCTCCAGACGGATCGCGACATCGCAGCACGGTGGGTCGCAGTGACGATGTGGCGCAGCTTTCGTTCAGCAGAGGCCGCTACTGCTGCTGCTGGAGATGACGACGATGTATGTTGAACTTCTTTCGCGCCGTACGTGACCAACCGTGCTCATCGGAGGTGTGGGGGAAGGACAACAAGCTCGACACAAAAAATCAGTTCTAAAGAAATTTTTTTCAATCGAGATGATTTAAAGTGCATCGCTCCAGTGGCTTCCTCATATAGGAAGGAAGAGCGTCTCAGACGGCCGCAGAAGCGCATCTGAAAGCGCGTGATGCAGTGACCGTCTTGTATCGATGGTTAGCCAAAAGCCGCTGCGATGATGACCCAACTGCGTGGTCCAGGAGTGTGCTGTGTAGTCCAGCAGTGTGCTGTGTGTACTGTGTGTACTGTGTAGTCCAGCAGTGTGCTGTGTGTACTGTGTAGTCCAGCAGTGTGCTGTGTGTACTGCGTGGTCCAGCAGTGTTCTGTGTGTACTGTGTGTGCTGTGTGTACTGTGTAGTCCAGCAGTGTTCTGTGTGTTCTGTGTAGTCCAGCAGTGTTCTGTGTGTACTGTGTGTGCTGTGTGTACTGTGTAGTCCAGCAGTGTTCTGTGTGTTCTGTGTAGTCCAGCAGTGTTATGTGTGTGCTGTGTGTACTGTGTAGTCCAGCAGTGTTCTGTGTGTTCTGTGTAGTCCAGCAGTGTTCTGTGTGTACTGTGTGTGCTGTGTGTACTGTGTAGTCCAGCAGTGTTCTGTGTGTTCTGTGTAGTCCAGCAGTGTTATGTGTGTTCTGTGTGTACTGTGTGGTCCAGCAGGGTACTGTGTGTACTGTGTGGTCCAGCAGTGTTCTGTGTGTACTGTGTGTACTGTGTGGTTCAGCAGGGTACTGTGTGTACTGTGTGTACTGTGTGTACTGCGTGGTCCAGCAGTGCTCTGTGTGTACTGTGTGTACTGTGTGGTCCAGCAGGGTACTATGTGTACTGTGTGTACTGTGTGGTCCAGCAGTGCTCTGTGTGTACTGTGTGTACTGTGTGGTCCAGCAGTGTACTGTGTGTACTGTGTGGTCCAGCAGTGCTCTGTGTGTACTGTGTGTACTGTGTGGTCCAGCAGGGTACTGTGTGTACTGTGTGTACTGTGTGGTCCAGCAGTGTACTGTGTAGTCCAGCAGTGTACTGTGTGTACTGCGTGGTCCAGCAGTGTACTGTGTGTACTGTGTGTACTGTGTGGTCCAGCAGTGTTATGTGTGTACTGTGTGTACTGTGTGGTCCAGCAGTGTACTGTGTGTACTGTGTGGTCCAGCAGTGCTCTGTGTGTACTGTGTGTACTGTGTGGTCCAGCAGTGTTCTGTGTAGTCCAGCAGGGCACTGTGTGTACTGTGTGGTCCAGCAGTGTGCTGTGTGTACTGTGTGTACTGTGTGGTCCAGCAGTGTTCTGTGTGTACTGTGTGTACTGTGTGTACTGTGTGGTCCAGCAGTGTGCTGTGTGTACTGTGTGTACTGTGTGGTCCAGCAGTGTTCTGTGTGTACTGTGTGTACTGTGTGGTCCAGCAGTGCACTGTGTGTACTGCGTGTACTGTGTGGTCCAGCAGTGTACTGTGTGTACTGTGTGGTCCAGTAGTGCTCTGTGTGGACCAGCAGGGCACTTTCCCAACTGTGCTGCCGGCAATCAGTGGCTTTGTCAGGGAGTGGGGTGAGTGGGCGGGATGCTTCTGTTCGGTGGGACGCGAGTGGATAATGCCCCTTTTGTCGAGGATGGCACAGCGACAAAACGCCTAATTATTACTGCACTTCATCATCAGCCATGATCGATCACCTGCTGGATAAAGGCCTCCCCATGCCACCTCTTAAGATTCTGCGATGTAATAATCCACACAGAATGTCATCAATTTTAGGTTAATCCACTTATTATTGACATTATGTAGAGTCTAATAGACATATTTATGCTCCTATTTGGTTCTTTAAAAAGGGGAAATGTTGCCTTTGTTACGATACATTGACATTTGTCAATCCACTGCGGGAAGAAGGCATCCGTTTGCCATGGGGGGGGGGGTGTTTGACCATATTTCACCACGCTGGTCACTGCAGGTTTGTCGAGAGAGGAGGGACCCCACTCATGTTGGTCACTGCCTGGGATCGACCTCTGGAGGTCTAATTCATCGTGCAGTGCACAAGCCACTCTGCTACCACTCCCCTCGTCATTAGTGTATTGTAATAGTTGTTTATTTGCCTCGACATTACTCTTCGATGTTACAAAGGAATGTGTACAGAGGTACTGTCTCACGTCGCTCATATCTCAAGATCCGTAGATTCGTCGCATACCAGCAGCCACGTGTGAAGTTGCCAGACTTCTGCCCCACACACATTGAAGCCGTGTTGATGTACCCAGTGAAGTATGTTTGTGTAACCAGTAACCAGTTGAGAACTCAGCCTCGTATGCAAGAGGGATCTGTGTACATATCACGCAGAGTAGGATCAAGACGGGTCACAACTGGTGTTTCATAGCGAGACATCAGTGGCGTCAGTGATATCGCACTTACCGCCCATGCTGTCCCATCAGGGCCGTGTCTATTTTGCTGTCAACGTCGGGTTGGTCAAACCCGTTCACTTTTGTACCTCGGCTTGTGATCGTTCGGCGTGGCCCAATCGTGAGTTGCAAAAAATGTTGCTGCTGACACGTGGATGTTGCAGTGAATTGTCTCGGTGGACTGCCGCTGTTGCTGGTAGTGCTGTTGGTGGTGGTGTGGTGGTGATGGTGCTGTTGGTGGTGGTGGTGCTGTTGGTGGTGGTGTGGTGGTGGTGCTGTTGGTGGTGCTGTTGGTGGTGGTGCTGCTGTGGTGGTGATGGTGGTGGTGGTAGTGCTGTGGTGGTGATGGTGCTGTTGGTGGTGATGGTGCTGTTAGTGGTGGTGGTGTGGCGGTGCTGTTGGTGGTGTGGCGGTGCTGTTGGTGGTGGTGGTGCTGTGGTGGTGCTGCTGTGATGGTGGTGGTGCTGTTGGTGGTGGTGCTGTTGGTGGTGCTGTGGTGGTGGTGCTGTTGGTGGTGGTGGTGCTGTGGTGGTGCTGTGGTGGTGGTGCTGTTGGTGGTGCTGTGGTGGTGCTTTTGGTGGTGCTGTTGGTGGTGGTGGTGCTGGTGGTGCTGGTGGTGGTGGTGCTGGTGGTGCTGGTGGTGGTGCTGGTGGTGCTGTGGTGGTGCTGTTGGTGGTGGTGGTGCTGTGGCGGTGCTGTTGGTGGTGGTGGTGGTGGTGGTGCTGTTGGTGGTAGTGGTGGTGCTGTTGGTAGTGCTGTTGGTGGTGGTGGTGCTGTTGGTGGTGATGGTGGTGGTGCTGTTGGTGGTGATGGTGCTGTTGGTGGTGATGGTGCTGTTGGTGGTGATGGTGCTGTTGGTGGTGGTGGTGCTGTGGTGGTGGTGGTGCTGTTGGTGGTGATGGTGCTGTTGGTGGTGGTGGTGTGGTGGTGGTGGTGCTGTGGTGGTGCTGTGGTGGTGGTAGTGCTGTGGTGGTGATGGTGCTGTTGGTGGTGGTGGTGTGGTGGTGGTAGTGCTGTGGTGATGGTGGTGCTGTTGGTGGTGATGGTGCTGTTGGTGGTGGTGGTGTGGTGGTGGTAGTGCTGTGGTGGTGGTGGTGGTGCTGTTGGTGGTGATGGTGCTGTTGGTGGTGGTGTGGTGGTGGTGGTGCTGTGGTGGTGGTAGTGCTGTGGTGGTGGTGCTGTGGTGGTAGTGCTGTGGTGGTGGTCGTGCTGTGGTGGTGGTGCTGTTGGTGGTGGTGCTGTGGTAGTGGTGATGCTGTTGGTGGTGATGGTGCTGTGGTGGTGGTGGTGATGCTGTGGTGGTGGTGATGGTGGTGATGCTGTTGGTGGTGATGGTGGTGATGGTGCTGTTGGTGGTGATGGTGCTGTGGTGGTGGTGGTGTTGATGATGTTGGTGGTGATGGTGGTGGTGCTGTGGTGGTGGTGATGGTGCTGTGGTGGTGGTGGTGGTGGTGATGCTGTGGTGGCGTTCCGCCTCGTGATGGGAGTGCTGTGCTGTTTGTCCGCCACTCTGCTGAACTGCACTTTCCAGATTGGAATGTGTTCTCTATGCGAAAACTTAAACATCTCTCTCACTTGTTAGCCTGCCAGCAAGCGTGAACGTCTGCTCTCACACAACTTCTGGGGGAGGTATTGTATTAGTTTTTTATTTGCCTCGACATTACACTTCAATGTCTTCCTCTCGTGTGTTTTTGTAACAAAAATAAGAATATATTTCTACATTGGTGTCACATACGAATACTGTATACACCTGGCAAGGTGACTCGCACGTAGAGCAAGTGGCTCGCAATTGGACAGATGTGAGTTCAAATCCTCAGGGAGTTGACTCAGCCAATCAGTCCTCATTGGCCGATAAAATGCTACCACTTTGGGTGTTCGGACATTAAGAGTGGTTTGTCCTCTGGAGAAACTCACCCGCATCATCGGAATGTGGAATTTCTGCCACTGACTTGGGTCAGTGAAGAAAAGACGAGGACTGGCTACGATTTTCACTTGAAAAAATCAATGACTTTGACCTGTTTTGGTATGAGTATTTAATGTTCCATTGACTGTTGTTAAACTTTACAGTTTAAATGGTGCGGTACAATCTGGGAATTACGATTTAACGAGAAAAGATGCGCACGGACGATGTCAAGCCCAAACGAAAATGAGATTTTTTACATTAAAATTTATGATCAAAAATGTAATGTAAGGTGCACCATGAAACATACAAGAGCACTTGAATCGCTTGATCTCGTGCATTATCTATCGCCTGGTGGTCACCTGCGGCAGGTGAAAGTGCAATTTGATTTCTTCATCGAGGGCTAATAAATGTATATTTTCTTTGAACGGCAGGGCAAGAGGGAGGGGTGGAGGTGACTTTCACTTCCCCGACATAAGAGTGGACACATTCTTTGATGAGCTCCGCGGTGATCCAGAGATATCTGGCGATGCTGTGCCAGCCGCCTGGAGGAGACAGCACAGAGGGTTTCTCCACGGATGAAGAGCCCCTGATTCAGCCGGAACAACGTGACGACTTGCGACCTCAACATGTATCCCGCTGACCAAAACAAACTGCAACAGAAAACATGTTCCGCCTTGCTATGCGGTCCACGTTTGCATTCTTTGTTGTTTTCTTTCCAGATTTTGAGGAAAAGTATCAAACAATATATATTTTAAACGTACAGTACCTGTACATAGCTTGAATCGAAGCACGACGTTTATATCCATAGCCTTTAACAGATTGTGCTAACTCTGTACGCAATTCATTTGATGCAGAAAAATCTCTGGACAAAAATGTTGATGCTGCACATTATCACGTAATGATTCATAGCTTTATCAATTAAATGCGATTCGTATGCTTGTGATGCATGCATAGAACGCTAGTGTAATCATCTATGATCTATAATTATACAAATCATACGCTTATGTTACATTAATGCGAATGGGGCAAAAACATTTCTTACAAATGAGACGGAACCAAGAATGAATAAAACAAATGATATTGTTATGAAAAAACGAGACAAAATCCCTCAATTCTTGAATCAAATATCATCATTAAATGGTGACATTTCGTCGAATTGCTCGAGGTTGGGTGAGAGTGAATTGTTGCGGCATAGTTCCCACGCAAGCAGTAAATGGCTCTTGCTGCTGCTGCGTTTTGTGTCAACTGGGCCAGGTCATACGGAACATCAACCAGTACGCTCGGACCAAGACGCTGGCGCAGGGCTTTCTGGACATGGCTCTCTTCACGGCCAACGTCTCGCAACTCAAGCACTTGCTGCAGCAAGGAGCAGCGACAGACTTCTACTACTTCCTTTTCGTCCTGCTCGTCAGTTCCCGCTCACATCCGCCGCACGCACACACACATACACACCCTATCCTGGGAGTTGGGAGACTTGTGGGAGAGTGGAGGTGGGGGACTTGTGGGAGAGTGGGTGGGAGATTCCTGGGAGCTGGGAAATTTGGGGAGAGTGGGTGGGAGATTTCTGGGAGCTGGGAGACTTTGGGAGAGTGGTTGATTTTCAGACATGCCCCTCCCCCTGACAATTATCATCAACAACCATGATCTAGCCACTGCTGATCGAAGGCAACCCAAAGCTGTCACCATATATCATGATTTCGTGATTCAACAATCCGCCAGATTCCTGCGCGGGGGTTGATTTTATCGCTCCGTCTCCATAGAAGACGTCCTCATGAGCGTATTGTCTCTTTTGTCTGGCACTCCACCGTTCGTCTCGACCACTGGCCATCATTCCCTCGAATGACGTGTCCTGCCAAAACCCCTCTTACGTTTCACAACTGGCAATGTGATGATGCCTCTGTAGTCAACGTACGTTTGGTCGTCATGGTAATAGGGCCGGTGCCATTTTCTTCCAGTCGTTTTGCACAGTGAGGGCAGAGCTCTGTTATGAGTTGCAGCCTTTCGCGGTTGGTTCCCGTTTTTCATTAATATTAAAGAGTTTCATTGTTATCAGGCCTTCCTAAGTATGGTCATCTTTGACTACATAAGTACGTAAGGTGCCCAATTAGGAAGCAGACGAAACCTCTGCTGCCCCTCAGTGTAATTCCCAGCATGCACCTCTCCATGCCTCTTTGCAACTCTGACATGTAAATGCTTTCTCTACACGAAATTGGCCATATAGTATTGGTGTGCACATCTTGTTTTCATATCGATTGGGCAAAATGTCAACATACAGAGAGGCATTTGGTATTGAGAGGACAAGTGTATTGTATCCGGTGTGTGGGTAGAGCCCACTGCTGTTTTTACTGTCGCCTAAAATGAAAACGAGGTTCCATGTCAATTAATTTATGAAGCTTCGATAAAAACCCCCAACCTAAGTAAACGCTAAATGGGCCATCTCACGGAAGCGTAATAACAAGAACAATTAATGCATATTGAACGAGGGAATGACATGGCCTCTTTTGTGCATATTGCACCAACCTGCTACTGTCTTTATAAAACAGTAAATAATGTCTTCTTGGTTCTTTCGGTAAAGTCACGTAGAATGGAAATAATAAAATAATAAAAATAAAACATAATAACATAATTCTCACGACGTTTCGGCCACAACACAAGCAGCCGTCCTCAGGTGGAGAGCAGGTCTGTCTTCTCGACGGCTGCTTGTGTTGTGGCCGAAACGTCGTGAGAATTATTTGATTGTGTTTTATTTTTATTATTTTATTATTTCCATTCTACGTGACTTTACCGAAAGAACCAAGAAGATGAATCCCTGCAGTCACGAAAGCTTTAAATCGAAAAGTAAATCATGTATTACGTTCAATGCTGTGATTGTTAGGTTCTGTTTCGTAGTTTCACGATTGTGGAACTGACCGCATACATGATAATACAACAATCTTTCCACAAGGCACATTTCTCAACAGGACATCGCATCAATAGTAATCAGCAAATACTGTAACTATTCGTTTAATGTTATTTACAAATAATTATCATTGAAACGTTTTTATTTGCGACGCAGCTTAACCTATATCAGCTTGACCTAGAAACCCATGCGTGATTGTTCGGGTGTAGTCATTAATCTTTCACTTCTTGCAGTGCATTTCAGTTTTATTGCAGCTTATCGTGGCCGGCCTGCTGATCTACAAAGGCTCCATGAATGTTGAGAACGACGACCCTGAGCGAAAGCTGGGCGACAGGTGAGCATGCGTGAGAGATTGCGTCACAGTGCTGGACAGGTGTTTGTCTGATTTGTCATCTTCGTCGTCTTTGCTTTTACCAAAGAAAGAAAACTTCCCGGCGCTTATTTGAAACATGTTGTTTTCCTTTTGCTATGCCCGCACGAGTGCAGAACCATTAATATAAGGTTGAAATATCCAGATCAATGTTGTCTCGTGCACCAAACAAGGGTTGGAATGGAATAATAGAGCCCTTGCAAGAGAATTGAGAATAAAGCCATCGATTTTCTAACAGTCAATTCTACTGGGCGGTCAATAGCCGCTACATTTTCACTACGCACCAACCTGGGATGTTTTCACGGAGACGTTTGGGATTTAAACTTTACCTGCTTTGCCCTAAAACTCTGAACCATTATTTGCAAAGAGGAGTGGTGAAAAGTGTCTATATCATTGGTGTGTGGATGTTGTTGTTGTTTTTTCATTGTTTAGTGGCATTTCCGGACTGCTCTGTTGAACTGTGTGCTCTTGCCGGGCAGGCATTGTCACAGTGGGTGGCTTCATGTGGCACTTGCACTACTCTCTGTCGGCAGTCATCGCATATGCATATTAATTTAGGAATATTCAATTGCCATACAATTGAATATTAAAATGCACTTTTTTACGCCTGTATTTTGGTTTTAAATTAGTGGGTGATTAAACAGGTCTTCTTAAACTTGTTTTTGATTGGGATAAGCATGGTTGGAAATAGAATCAAGATATTTATTTAAGATGGGATTTTGCGACGTTGGGTTAGAGTGGGAGTACAGTGGCTAGTGCACTAACCAACGAAACTCGGACACTCGAATTTAATTCTTCGCCACATCTGGCATCAGTGGCGAGTGATATCCGAACCGGTCCTGGAACCTTTTCTGTTCACCAATCTACACTGACCACCACGGTGAAGTATGGTCGACCAACCCCCACGACCAAAAAAAGGCACAAGACGAGCCAATGCCTCTTTCGCAGTCGAACTGGGGGCTTCTTTTTCAGAAGCGAAGTTCCCGGCAGGTGCATCGAGCGAAACGTCGGACGCAATACCAAAGAGCACGCTTCACAACACGAAAACCCGTCGTCGAGTCATACCGCACGACCACGCGCGTGAGATTAGAGACGCTTCTTAATTGGTGAAAACTATGGGGGGGGAGGGAGAAAAAAACCTCGGGACTGCCATCCCATCGCAGCAGATAAAACAAGAAAAACAATCATTTACCGCTAGCTTGCTCGCATATCTTCACGGTGTCAGTCCGCGTCACCTTTTCCCAGGTCACGACCTCCACCTGCCCATTTGTGCCTCAATCTGACGCTGCCGCTTTCACGCGTCGTTGACGTAACCCCGGTGGCTGAGCCCCTGAAATTCGAACAGTGCAAATATTATAGTCCATTTGTCGTGCCCGGGCTGTAGTGCGCCATAGGTTTCACGATGGATGATCTTGTCGTCTACGTGAGCCAATCTTACCCCTTTTTTCAAGGCTTCCTTGCTGTCCTCTATCAGCCTCCCACTTAGGTCAAAACCCAGAGCTCACCGCTTTATTCTGTGATGGTCTCGTGTCTATTTTGGTGAAGTCAGGGGGGGGGAGGTGCTTCCCCATACATCAGCCGATGCCTCATCTTGCAGGCAACGGCGCTCTCTTGTTTTGTTTAACCACGCTTTCCTTACATTGCCCCAAATAAGGCCGAGCCACGAGAGTAAAGGCCGAGCGCGAGTGCTTCTCGCCGCGTGCATTCCCTGCAGCCACCCTGGCACCTCGAGCCACGGCAGGCACAGGCTGCACCATAGGTGCTAATTAGAATTGATGCTTTTAAATTAGTTTTCGAAAACTGTCCTCGGTTTTTTTATCCTCCCCCACCACCACACACCCTCCCCCCTGATCATTGTTATTATTTTATTATTAATTATAATAATTAGCTACAGCGGTGGAAATATTTTGCCCGTACATGTCAAGGTTACAGATGATCTGCAGTCTGTAATGGATGAGATTGCCTTGTGTTGTTGATTCCTATTCATGTTTTTTTAACATAAAAAATAAAATGAATCGTCTATTCACCCACCAGAGAATGTTCACGTGATTCTTCGAATCCCTGTCGTTCCCAAGGGGGATTCCTGAATGCGTGCCATTATCCTCTCGGAGTATATTTTGCCGTGAGCAATGCTGATACCAACGTAAATAAATGAACGCCGTACGTTTGCTATAAACGCCGTGCCTACAGCACAAAGGCTATCACAACGTTTCACAGGTGGGATAGAGTCTGCCATGCTGTTGCCTCATGCGTTGTTTCCCACACAATTTTCCAGTTAGTAAAAAAATATCTCGCACTATCACATCAAGCGCTCTTCGCTTCCCTGTGCCCCGCTGTGCCACGCAGGATGCATCTGGTGAACAACTTGGCAACGGGTCTCATCCTGGTGATCACCGCTGTCAACGTCTTCATCACTGCCTTCTGGTTCACGCCGCAGCCCCAAGGCAATCCCCACTAAATCCGCTCCGACGAGAGTCTCCGGGAGAATCCATATTGCGTGTCAAATTTAGGCCAAACAAATTGCGCTTCGTTTGAAGTGGTCAAAGCTCGCGAATTCATAAGGATTTCCACGGGTGAAGGATCGCGACTTGCGATAAGCTTGCCGGAGAGAAATAAACGATTGTGTTCGAGATCCAAATGCAGCGCGCGGAGTTCGCCGCGTGTGCCAAAGTGGAAACGTCGCTGTCAGATGGAACGGGAAGCAGAAAGGAATTCGATTTGAGTGATATTGGGAAAGATACTCGAGGAGTAGAGCGACGAAAACGCTGCATCCGGTTCAAATCTGCTGCGGTGTTTCTCGGGGTGTGGGTGAAGTTCTCATCTTCGCTGAACGTGTGCTGCATTTAACAAGGGTGGCATGAAAATAAATAACCGTCTTGTCTCATGGACAAAGGCCATGTCATTCAGATTGACCCGGCGCACTTAAAAGGAATGCATTAACGTGCGTGTCAAATTCTGGTCAGCTCTGCTCGATGCACCGAGACGAACAAAAATCACTGAAATAGCAATGCTGCTCACAGCTGTTTCACCATTTACAATTTAGAGGCACGCATTGTACACTGCGTCTTAATGGCATCAATATATTTAATATAGAAATTATAACAGTTTGGCAAAATTTACTTGCGTGAATCGTTCCAATGTCTGTTCTTTTGAATCCGTCATTTGTGCCGAGTAAAATATAGAGTTGGGACATCATTGAGCAATAAAAAGGTTTAATTGGCTTAAATAGGTTAGTATGGTGACATTTTATTGCCTGCAAAAATAAAGTTTCCTAAACAATTTATTTCGTTACAGTCACGCTGCTGTTTAGCACTGCAACCGCCATCTCGATAATTGCGTAATGTCATTCTAATCGCTTGTAAATGTATCTATCGGGTCATGAGAGCCACTTCTGGATGTGGCGTCAATTGGCGGCTGCTTTTTGGTAGGCACACTTAGAAGAGAGCATGCCTGATCTCTGCAGGTCTTGGAAGCTAAGCAGGTTTGAGCCTGTTTGGTAAGCCTGCTTGTGTGGGGGACCACCAGTGCTTGCCAGGGGTTGTCGGAACTTGGAAGCAGAGGGTAGTGGACAGCGGTGGATGCGTTTGGCACGTCATTAATAGTCAATGTGCTGGAGGTCGATCTGCAGAATGAGCCTATCTGTGCAAAGCTTGGAGTATTATCTCCTCGTATATGTGAGTTGGATTTCTCCAGATCGCATGCACGTTGAACTTCTATCGCACCGTTCGTAGCCAACCGTGCTAATCGGAGGTGTAGGGGAAGGACAACAAACTAAACACTGATAAGGCGAATTGGCCAAACATCTCAGCTGCAGCAGGCGCCTCTGCAGAGGAGTCTTGAGGCCCGGCGAGGCTGTCCCAAGCAATGATTGAGCGTTCCACATGGCAAGGGTGCAGCGATGGCGCTTTGATCGTGGCTACCCGAGTGAAACTCCCAGCCACAGATGCGTGCAGTGTAAGTGGCATATGAACCGGTTCACCAACAACCAGCGCTCACCAGCGTGGTGCGGTATGGTCAAACAACCCACATGAACGAGACTGCACAGGGAAGGCGTTCATCCCGCAGCGAATTAACAAAGGGCTATACATTGTTATCATTTATATACGTGTGTGTGTGGGCATTGAGTCGGCTTCAGTGTGCTGTGTATCTTTTTAGTACAGTATATACCATTATCGCATGGCTGACAAGGCAGGAACGCCGCTGAAAAGGAGTCTTGAGACTCAGCGGTTCTTTCCTGGACGCTTAGTATAGGGAGATGTGTATATATATACGTGTGTGTGTATGTGTGTGCTCGTTGGAAATTCCTTCTGCGCGTGGCGCAACTTTTGTACGCTGTGGGCCTTGGAGCAGCATGTGCTGTTACCCTGTGGCTGCCAAGTTGCGCACGTTTAATCATTGAAAGTCCATGCGACGTTAATTGAATTTTAATCAAAACGCCGCTGCGCCGCTAACGTCGCCCTGATTTGGCTTGATGGGTGCGCGAGGGAGAAGACTGATCTGACACAAGCAGCCATGGTTGCCTCTAACGAAGGTTCTGCAACTGTTTTGCCATCATTAAGGATGTGTTGCTATCCATTCACCGGTTCTGTTGTCATGCTCACAAAACGGTGCTCCAAAAAATAAAAATGCTTCCTACAATTGCGTCCTCGCTTGCTCCGGATAAAATAAATACCACGTGAGATTGTAACACCGAACTCCACCTACAACCAAAGCATCCTCCGCACAACTCTCAGATTTGTATTTTCGTGGTACAGTCATACGCCGCGAATCCCTCCACGAACCGACATTAGTCAGTCGTGTTGAAGTACGGTGAACGACCCCGCCCATGGCCGACACCACGTGGGGGGGAGGGCTTCATCCAGCAGTGGATTGACAAGGGTTGTCATGGTCGATATCATGCTCTGTCATCACCAGCCGTGGTAAATCCACTGCTGGACGAAGGCCTCCCCAAGCCACCACCGTCTCTCACGAACCCAGAAATGTAACAATAGTCCACCCGGCACTTGCACGCGAATTGATTGCGTTGCTTCCATCTCCTCCATCATGGATATCCTCACGGAATCGTTTCATCCTTGGCCGCCACTCCGTTATTAGTCTTTGACCATCTGCCATCATCCTTTCTAAGCGATGTGTCCTGCCCAAGCCCACTCACTCGTCTTTAGTAGGTGGGTTTGCGCAGCACACGCTGAACGATGCCGTGAGATCGAGCGAAATGAGTATACTGTGGACGAACAAAGAACAGACAAAGATCCCCCGTGTAGCCGTGAACAGTACTGCCAGGGCCAGTGCTGTTCGCGAGTGCCAATTCAAGTCGACACGGCACACGAGGAGTGCGGTGGGCAGCACTGTGCCTGACAGCGAGTGTCTCCCGAGTGCTGATGTTGAGACACTGCACCAGGTACTCAATTAAGGCTGAGGCGACCTAGGGGAGGCCCAGGACTGGTCCAGAAATGCATGAGTGATGTTGGCTGTGAGCAGGAATCGAACTGTGGGCGCCGTGTTTGTAGCGGAGTACTTTAAGCACCGCGGCACCAGTCCCCACAGAATAAGCACACACAGAGAAGCCCATGAGATACATTTGACACCTTTGCGAAAATACGATTGGATGTGGTCCAGACACGCGTGTGCCATTCAAGCGCACATCTACAACTTAAACAAAAGAACTCTCTGTTTCTTCTAACAAATGCATCAACTTTCTTCACACGAATAAGACGGTGAAAGAACTTCATTGCTACACCCACAAACGGGCCCGTCTGTCTCTCGCCACCTTGATAACCATCGAACATGGGTGGCTGCATCTGTTGCAAATTCGCAAATGACTGTGAGCGAGAGGTTACTTCAGTATAAATTGTCTCTTTCTGAAAAAACAACGTGGGACATTCATCTGTTGTCGTCGTATTCTTGGCAGTAGCACGGCGTTGTGCAAGCGTCAGGTGAAAGCGATTTCCTTCTGAAATGAGCCTTGAAACGTCGTCACTGGTGTGATCAATCTCCTCTTCACAGCCCTGAGCCGGTGATGCTGGAAATTCCACATTCCTGTGGTGGGGGCGAGTACCTCAAGAGGACACTTCCCAATGCGGAACGATGACCTCCAGAAAACTGTTCGTGAACGAACGAACAGAGAGGGTCGTGTGGCCTTGGTCACCTTTGTTGTGTTGTTGGGGGCTGGAGTTGAGTTGACCCTCACCAACTCCTCACCAACACCTCACCAGACCTCACCAACATCTCACCCACACCTCACCCACACCTCACCAACATCTCGCCAACTCCTCACCAACTCCTCACCAACTCCCCACCATAACCTACCAACTCCCCACCAACACCTCACCAACTCCTCACCAACTCCTCACCAACACCTCACCAACACCTCACCAACTCCTCACCAACACCTCACCAACACCTCACCAACTCCTCACCAACTCCTCACCAACACCTCACCAACTCCTCACCAACACCTCACCAACACTTCACCAACTCCTCACCAACACCGCACCAACTCCTCACCAACTCCTCACCAACTCCTCACCAACACCGCACCAACAACCTCACCAACACCTCACCAATACCTCACCAACTCCTCACCAACTCCTCACCAACACCGCACCAACACCTCACCAACTCCTCACCAACACCTCACCAACTCCTCACCAACACCGCACCAACAACCTCACCAACACCTCACCAACACCTCACCAACACCTCACCAACTCCTCACCAACTCCTCACCAACACCGCACCAACACCTCACCAACTCCTCACCAACACCTCACCAACTCCTCACCAACTCCTCACCAACACCTCACCAACACGTCACCAACTCCTCACCAACTCCTCACCAACACCTCACCAACTCCTCACCAACTCCTCACCAACACCTCACCAACTCCTCACCAACTCCTCACCAACACCGCACCAACACCTCACCAACTCCTCACCAACACCTCACCAACTCCTCACCAACACCGCACCAACAACCTCACCAACACCTCACCAACTCCTCACCAACTCCTCACCAACACCGCACCAACACCTCACCAACTCCTCACCAACACCTCACCAACTCCTCACCAACACTTCACTAACTCCTCACCAACTCCTCACCAACACCTCACCAACACCTCACCAACTCCTCACCAACTCCTCACCAACACCGCACCAACACCTCACCAACTCCTCACCAACACCTCACCAACTCCTCACCAACACCTCACCAACACTTCACTAATTCCTCACCAACTCCTCACCAACACCTCACCAACTCCTCACCAACTCCTCACCAACACCTCACCAACTCCTCACCAACTCCTCACCAACTCCTCACCAACACGTCACCAACTCCTCACCAACACCTCACCAACACCTCACCAACTCCTCACCAACTCCTCACCAACACCTCACCAACACTTCACTAACTCCTCACCAACTCCTCACCAACACCTCACCAACACCTCACCAACTCCTCACCAACTCCTCACCAACACCTCACCAACACCTCACCAACACCTCACCAACTCCTCACCAACTCCTTCCCTCCATCCATCACTCCCTCTCTCTCGACGTGGCTCTCCCGTCGAGAACGACCGTTCCCCGAGCGACCGTGTGCGCATGCGCGTGGAACTTCCTGCGCACCGTACGTCGCCACCCGCGCCAACCGGAGGATGCGGGGCAGGAGCTGTCGCCCGCCCGCCCGCCCCGGAGCCGGGAGACGATTTCGTGGTGCCGCGCTGAATTAGCATGCACGGCGCGACGTGCCCAGCGCTCCGAGTGGGGGGCGCCTTTCGATTTAGCGAGCCAGCGAGCGAGCGAGCGAGCCAGCGATCTCGTGGGTCGAAGAGAGAGGGAGAGCAAATGCTTTGTGACGCAAATATCTGAGAAGCGACATCGGTGTGGGTGCTACGCGAGCCCCAAGGTCGCCCCCAAAACACCAGCAACGACTTCACTCTTTCGCGCACATCCTCCGTCTCTAAAGTACCCTCCGGTTGATGCGTTTGTTCTTTTGGTGTTTGTCTCTGTGCGTGTTGCTGCTGCTGCTGGAGTGTGTCTGGGCTACATGCGCGTCCACACACTGGCTTGGTGAGCACGCTTCGTAATTACCGATAGGGGCGGTGGGAGGGGGGGGGGGCGACTCGAGCGCTTGTGCGCAACGCGATTCGCCCCCCCCAAGTCACCATTCTGGCGTTGCGTTTTTGCCAGAGCGCGCAGCCAACCCATGGGATAGGGCGGCATCATCAGCAGCAGCAGCGGCGGTGGTGAGCGGCGCGAGTGGATCTTGAGTGAGTGAGCCAACAACGTGTTGGGTGGTGGTAAGGTGGTGGTGGTTGGTGGTTGGATTGTAGGAGGAGGTGGAGCTTTAGGGGTTGGGGAATGATGATGAGTGCTGCAACAACAACAGCAGCAGCACTAGTTTGTGTTTTCTGGTGCGACTGCTAGAAGGCAATCTGGGGGAGATGTGGAGCCGCTCCGTCTCGGATTAAGCCCCTCGCTCGCTCGCTCTCTCTCCACCCCCTCGCTCGCTCTCTCTCCACCCCCTCGCTCGCTCTCTCTCCACCCCCTCGTGTCTTGCAGGGTCCGAGCCGGCGAGTGACACGCACAGCGAGCGGCCTCTTTCGTTCTGTTTCATTTGTGAATCCGTGGTTCTGAAAATGGAATTGAAAAGTCGGTAAAATCTACCAAAAAGAAAGCACGAGGAAAAAAAGGCGGAACAAGCAATAAGTAAAGCGACACGGGTAGGTGGTTTGATGTCGTGTTCTGGTTTCAGAGCGAGATGGAATTTCCGCGGTGTTCATGCGAGCGTCGTTCGGTGCGCTTCGCCAAAACAAATGCTGACTGAATGTTCCCCGGGCTCACCGAATGCGTTTGCGTGTAAAAATAATGACGAGTTTGTTGGCGAAATGTAAATGGATTGACGATTATAATGGTAATAATTATTTTATATACATACTAATCATCATTATTATGATAAAGACATGAGAAAAAAGGTTTCAAAACTCTGTGTGCCCGCCATTTCACCCTCGGGATGCTCGAGTCGGGCAGATGCTAACGCACACAGACACAGACACACACACAGACACGCACAGACACAGACACGCACAGACACGCACACAGACACGCACACAGACACACACAGACACGCACACAGACACGCACACACACAGACACGCACACAGACACGCACACAGACACGCACACAGACACACACACACAAACACGCACACAGACACGCACACAGACACGACCAGCGCAAGCGACACGCACACAGACACGCACACAGACACACACAGACACGCACACAGACACGCACACAGACACGCACACAGACACACACAGACACGCACACAGACACAAACAGACACGCACACAGACACGCACACAGACACGCACACAGACACGCACACAGACACACACACAGACACACACAGACACGCACACAGACACGCACACAGACACGCATACAGACACACACAGACACGCACACAGACACACACACACAGACACGCACACAGACACACACAGACACGCACACAGACACACACAGACACGCACACACACACACAGACACACACAAAGACACGCACACACAGACACGCACACAGACACACACACA